ACCGAATGACTGTGTGGAATCCGGGCTGCGGGGCCAGGGTTCGGGCGCGGGGATCGGAAACGTGGGTTTGCTCCAGGTCCACCTGCTCTGAGACTCTGAGCAAAGCCCGTCCTCGCCCCATGCTCCAGGCTCTCCGTCTAGGAAACGCAGGGAAGTGGCGAGGTCTGCGTTTCCAAAGCACGGTCCGAGGAACCCCACAGTGGAACATGCACGCCACACTCGCGATGGTGACACTGCCGGAGCGGGTGGGAGGACTGGTTCGTAGGTTAGGAGTGACAAAATTAGGATTTGCTTCTTTAAAAAGACAAAGCAAAGATAATTACATAATAATTGCGAATTCTGCACGATAGAAATGTAAGTGCTTGTTATACTATTGTGTGTACTTTCCTAGGCCTTAGATTTCTCAACAGTAAAACAACTGGCGAGGAGCAGGTCTTGACGTAGGAGTAAGGAAAGCACTGACCCCCCCGTCCGCAGCACATGCGTATGGACACGCACAAATGCAGTTTCTCTCTATTGTATATAAATGACATCATACTTGAATTACCGTTCCTCAACTTACGTTTCCACGTAACAGAATTTCCTACCCCTTTTGTGTGTGCGTACATGTGTTTCTATTAATAACTTCAAAGCAGTCCACGAGACACACCATGCAATTTTAACCATTTCATTATTGACAAAGGGTAATTTTATTCCTGGTTTTTCACTGTGGCAATACTGCAATGAACAACTTTCAAAACCCCAGAGCAAAGGAGCAACAGAACGTTCACCAAACACCCATTTCCTCGTCCTCAGGCCTGGCCACGCAGTCACAGGTGCCTGTTAGCAAGCGGCCAGTGTCCTCGAGCTTTGTGCTTTTGCAGCCCACGGTGCAGGGTCAGACGTCAGGCACTCAGTGAGCCCGATTAGTGTCCCCCGCACAGTTCTCAGTTGTCCTAAGCAACTAAGAAAAAAAAAAAAAAACTAGAATTCAAGACAGGCCAAGAAGGAACAGCCCAAGTAAACACCCCAGGTTCTCAGCACAGAACCCTGCAGCGTCATCTTCGTCAAACCAAGGGTGGACATTAGCCTTGTTTATAGGAAGTGAACCCCACCTCGAGTGGGGTCGGCCCCGTGTTGAGTCAGGGTGACCTTCCTGCCCTGTAGCTGCTCAGCACGGGAGTGGAAAACCCTCTCTGTGGGGCAGCGTCGCCCAGAGCCACGGCTGTGTTTTGCATCGCTGTTCAGTGCTCCTCTGAAATTTGTATCGGGTATACCAAGAAATTGAACCAAAAATAAATAAACAAACAACAACAGGAGCTGACCTGCAGATGACCCAGATACCGGAGTTATCGAATGTGGACTTTAAAAAAAGTGTGATTAATATGTTCGGAAAAATAGGTAACAAGGTGAAAATTTTCACTGGAGAGATGCAAATTGTTTTAAAGCGTCAAATGGAAATTCTGAGATCGAAAAGTATGGCTGAAGCGGAACTCGAATGGGTAGGTTTAACAGCTAATTGGACGTAGCAGAAGAGAAGATTAAGGAACTGGAAGTTTGTTCAGTAGGAAATATTCAGACTCCAGCACTAAAGGAACGATGCATGCAGGAGGAGGGCACGAGGAACAGACGCGGCATGC